TAGCTTGTATCAAGTTGACATAAAACTATCCAGCACAAGAGCTATGGATGAAGAAGGGGTTAATTTGATTAGAAGAAAAATTATTATCTGTCCTGCAATGATGTTAAATATAGAAGGGACAGGAAGCAGAGGGCAGAAAGGACCAGTTTTTATTGCCCTTGCCAAGATCTCTGAGGCATGGAAGGCACTGAAATCAGCCCTGAGATTGTCACAATCTTTATGAATGAATGTTGATTGATGGCTTGTGAGTGAGTTTGAGGCATTGTTACATCACTCTTTTTCATTCCCTCTCTGTCATGGTGACTTGTCTTGCTGTGAGGTCGTTTTGTTTTGGTTTGGTTTTTTGTTTTTTGTTTGTTCTTTAAAGAAAGTATACCCTTGCTGAAGGCTAGACACAGTACTAGTCCCTTGGTGCACTCAGTCGAAACGGCCTGCTATGCAATTCAATCCAGTGTGCTATTGGATCAGAAAGTCAGCACTATATGAAAAGAAAAGCCCTAAATAAGGCTGCTTAGCAGTGGATGGCCTCCTCCCTCCACCTCCACCCCTTGCTTGGCTCCAGCCAGGGACACCCATTGTAAACTTAGCCACACTGTAGATCCCTTGGATAAAACAAGGTGTCTCACAAGAGCTCAGATGGCATAACCACCCTTGTCACTGATTTCCAAGCTGAGTCTTTCCCTTCCAGTTGCCTTCAGATTGAGGGGCACATTTTCATTTTGCAGCTTATATACAGTGAGTACACAAATCCCAGAAGTGCAGATAGAGACATCCTTAGATAGCTAGACACCCATGTGACCTTTTCCCAGACAGACATGACTCCGGTATCCCAGAAGAAGCCTGCATGCCAGTAACACAATTCTGTGAGACGTAATTGGGAGGTCCTTTTAAGTTTGTGCCTTCACCCTCACACTTCTCAGGTATAATGAAATGGAGATAAGGCCCGCCCCATCGACACAAGACAGCAGAGATGATGTACCATATTGCAAGTCCATGTTCTTGTCTGTTGTATGTTGGAGACTGCATGGACTCAGTTTCCTTCTGCTCTGGCCTTCATCATTCTAAGGAAACAAAGTGAGACTTCTGTCCAGAGGCTTTCGCTGTATGAACTGGAATCCACATTTTTCACCCTCTACTGGTGCTTTGAGCCTGCCAGGCCTGGCTATTCTGGGCAAAAGATTTGTGAATATTAATGAGCCTAGCATCTATTTTTTAGATATTGGTACAAATTGTCCTAACTCTCTGCGGCAGCCGTGGTTAATAGTCTTCAGAGTCACCAAGCTGGCCTGCTGTGTCTAGACTTCCAGTCCCTTGCTAAGAGACACACTTCCCTCGTGTGCTTTGGAAAGTTGACAACTACTGCTTTCTTGGACACTTCCATTCCTCTCTATTATTTAGAATTCAATTGGAAGTGTTGAAGATGAAGCTCACTTGGCTTAGCATTGCGAGGTCCTGGGTCCTAGTCTCAGTACAGCAGAAGAAATAAAAATTGGAAAAAGTGAAGCTTCTCTCTGGGTGGGTTCAGAGTTAAACCATTAGCTGTTATCTGTAGGAGGAATTGTTTTCCTTCTGGGCATTAACTTCTAGTTGACTCTTCAGACGCAGCAGCAGCCGTTCTCCCATACACATGTCCAAGCTCATCTCTCAGTCACCTCCTAGGGGGTTGTTCACCCAGAGTCCTGTCAAAATGCCTTCACCATGATTTTATAAGTAATTGGATTTCATACATGAACAGTTAGGGAGATGTGTGTTGAAGAGTTTTGTTCATATTTGCTGTTATTTATTTTGTAAATTAAAATGGAAATGTATTTTAAAGTTTACTATGTGTTTAGCTTGTTATTGTTTTTAGATTATTAAAATAAGATCTTGGGCTTTAATGGTTTTTCCCTAGTGACAGCTCCTTCAAGACACTTCACCCTCAGGGCCCCTCTGGACTCATTTCATTACAGATCCTGTAGAAATGCATACTGTGGGATCCTGGTGTCTGTCTTACATAGAACTAATAAAATCTGGAATCTTCTCTTTTTTTGCCCTGCTCACCCATGCCTTTGTTGTCTGAGCTGAGCTGAAAGTTTTCTGAAGGAAAGTTATTCCATGTGTGCAGGTTTTGTGTGTTCTTCACTGGCACGAGTAAGAGGATAAATAAAGTAAGAGTATCTAAGCTGGCCCAATCAATCTATTACTTTTAACAGCTAGTAATGTCCTATTATCTATGTGTCAAAGGATAACCCTATGTGCTTATCAAAAATATAGGTGGCATTTGTCCTGAGGCATGAGTGAATGTTAGGCTAGGTGCATTCTGGACACCCATGATGCATGGACATGTGCATTCGTGCACTCGTGAACACACACATACACAGTGCATAATTGTAATATGTATGTAAGGTATATACTTGTAAATATATATATTCAAGGTACATTGAGAGGTAAAATCTTCAGATAGAGGGAAAGCTTTGACATTTAGTAAAGGTAATGTTTTTATATTCGCTATTCCCCTTGATCTTTTGGGCCATCTGTGGATTAAGTGGACCCAATAGGCTTGCAAACTGCCATGTGTCATCCCAAGTCTATAACAGCAACAGCAGCTGAATGAACACCTTTTTATCCCATTCTAGAGAACCCATGGCTCAGTAAAAAAAAAAATTTCTCCCAGAGATGGTGTTTGATAGTAGAAGCCCAATGCTCCAAGTATAATGCATGAGAAGGTCTGTTGCTTTTTTTAAAAAATAGGTTCATTAATAGCAAGTTCAAGGCCCATTTGAGTAATATGAGACTGTTTAAAACAAACCATTAATGAAAGATGTTAGGCTTCCACTTGCCAATCACAGTATTTTTAAAAAACAATCAAATTTACAATATTCCATGGGCATTTGCTGAAATTTGAGTTTTCTCAGTAGTTCCATAGCTACTTGAAAGTTGGGGGATATGTGAGAATTGTGTCATCACATCTAGGACCTCATGGAATGGCCACAGTAAAACCTAATTGGTTATGAGCAGCCCCAGTTTCCTATTTCAGTTCCAACAACCCAACACTCCCAAGTCTCAGCTTCATTGGCTGTTCTTTGCTGTGCAGTTTAGGGAGTGGGCCCCCCAAGCCCTAAGCTTCGGCTTCATTGCTTGAAAGTGAAGACAGTCATGGCTATTTCTCATCTTGCTCGAAGATATTTGTGCATGTATATCTAACCTGAAGCCTGACTCTGTCCTTGTGGGGGATGAAAGGTGGCCCAGGAGACAAGAGAACACCAGGTTCTGTCTGCAATGGACTGTTTACACTTTTGTTTAAGTTCTCAGGAAAACGATGTGCGGCCCTGGTCCCTGCTATGGATGTGGTATGTGTCCTAAAGAGCCACATTCTGGAAGCCTGTCCCAAAGTTGTCAAAGCTTTATGGAGAGGTGGGTCTTCAGGTCATGATGAAAGCACCCTCAGAATGGCCTAATGCCTGTCTCATGAAAGTGGGTCAGGCCCTATAGGACTAAATCAATTACTATGAGAGTAATGAGAGTAGATGTTGTAAAGTGAGATGACCCAGTGTTTGGCATCCTCTGTGAACGTCCCATACCACTGTGATGTGATTCCCATGACATAATCCAAACACAACGGATATGGCCTCCCAAGTTAAGACAGTTTAGCCTCCAAAATTTTGAGCCACAAAAAAAAAAAAAAACAAAAAACAACAACAACAAAAAAAACCTTTCCTTATTAAGTACTTAGCCTCAGGGATTTGGCTACAGCAATAGAAAAATAGTTCTGAATGAACCTCATACCACCTAGCAAAGACAATATGGAACCAGAAGGAGCACTGGACAAGGAGTCCAGAAGCCTCTGCCTCTCCTCTGCTTCCACGGGATTCTAGCTGACTTTGAGAGGCAGAGGGAGGACAGTTCTTTCCCAGCAGCAGGAGATACAGTTATGATCCTATAGAAACCAGGTGAACTAGTTTCCTCTGGCCTCAGCCAGTATATGACCATTGCCTTCTCTTTGTGAATGCAGGGTGGATGTGAGCCGTGGATTACATCTCTTGGTCAAAAAGACACTTGATCGTTGTGGTTTCTTTTCCATCTACCACATGTCCTCATCTAAAGAGCTGCATCCACCCACCCCTGCCCCTGTCACCTGTAGTGGATGAGGGCGCTGATCTCCCACTACCAGCTGCAACACTCCCGGAAGTGGGCCCCTTCTCTGTTGGGCAGTACCGTAGAGCTGACCCTATTGGTGGGTATGGGTGAATCTGCTGAGAATACAAGCATGGGAGAGCTGGCCCTGAGGTCATGAGAGCTGGAAAGCGGGTCCTGCTCCTCACCAGCTGCAGAACTCGGGAGAGTGCCTACTGAACCTCCCCTGGGCAACACAGTAGAGTTGGCTCTGATGGTGCAGCTGTGGGAAGGCATACTCTAGGCATGAAAGCAGGAGAACTGGTCCCGCCCCTTGCTCATCGCTGCAAGGGGTGAGCTAGCCAGGGCTATGCTGGAGAGCTCACCCTGGTGGTGGTGGTGGTGGTGGTGGTAGTGGTGAGAGGTGCTGGAGGGCTGACCAACTTCTCAGGCCCAGAACCAGGGTTATGAGTTGGCCCACCCCAACATCCACCCCCTGTATGATCTGTGGGAGCACATGAAGGAGCCCATCCTGTAAACCCAAAGCTGCAGGACCTCCATGACACAGGACAACGGGATATCCAAGAGGAGTCCCAGTGAGGGTCCAGCATCAATAGTGTAGCACAAACCAGAGGCCTCGAACCAGACCAAGTAAAGATATATGGACAAAAGGTAATAGACTATGTGACTCACTGTGTCACACTACAGCTTTGATGGCAAGAGGTTTTTCTTTTCTTTTTTTTCATTTTTTTCTCTTAAATTTTGTTTTATTGTGGGGGAGGTTGCAAGGGCAGAGACACAGAAGGGACAGGAAATGAATGGGATCTAGATGCAAGATGTGAAAGACACAAAAAATAAAAAATGTTAAAAAAAAAAAAAAGCATCCTGAGCTTGGAGTCAGAGGACCATCACATTTACAGGACTTGATCCACAACACATCACTTTATTATGAAATACATGCTACTGGGCACAGAAATGCTGAAACCCACACAATTACAGATCTATATCAGGTCACAAATTTCAATGTCCACATTACACTTGGGTGTTGTGGATCCTTTGGGGCCAATGCATTTACATCTTCTTCTGCCTGGTTTCCTCTTCAATCAGACTTTCCTGAAAAACACATAACATGAATATCAATGTTGAATTGGCTAGCTGAGTTTCATTGTTTCTGATATTCAGATCTAAGAATTTGTTATTCACTCAAAAGTGCTAGAAACATGGCAGACAGTATCTTGTAGACCTGTGGACACCCTAAAATCTAGGTTAATCGCTCAAAGGGTGTCATATCGAGGAAGGATTGGGTCAAATCAGCCTTTCCTTGGAGTCCTTCATGACGTCATGCCTAGGGAATTTTGGCTGGTTATTTCGACTGGGCTATAGGCAAGATTAGAACAAGAAAGGAAATAGAGATGACTGCCCACCTTCATCTTTGTCCACTGAGTGTGGACTTTGAAGTCAATGGAGAAAACTTAAAAATCAGCCTTATCTTCATGCAGGATTTACTGAGGATTTCCCTCCTTCTCTGAGTAACTGGAAGTTGGCCATATGCTTTCTGACTGCTGCGGGTCAGTGGGAAAGCAGCTCAGAGAACACCGACACTCGTTCTAGGTTCACTTTCCCCATTCAGTTTGTTTCATGCTTCTATTCTCATAAACAACCAATATTACAGCCACAGTAGTAACACATCCCTGTAATTGTAGCTTCTCTGGAGGTTGAAAGGAACCTCAAATTCAAGTCCGACTTGGGCTGCACTGCCTGAGAAAGTTAGTGAGATTCTGTCTCACATTATAAAGATTTTTTTTTTTAAGTAGGAGGAGGGCCAAGGATATAATCCTTACAGTGCTTGTCAGCATAAGATCTTACCTGTGGTCAATACCCAATACCAAAAGAGGAAAGGGGGAAGAGAGAATGAGAATGGTGGGCATTTGGGCCTAACAAAACTACAAGTCAAATCTGTGGCTCCGAGTTATAAATTTTTTAAGTTTTGAATATTGTGATCCAAAGTGGGGGAGTGACCTAAAGCCTTGCTTTTGGTTTCTATAGTTCCCAAGGTTCTAGAAGCAATGGCTGAATCAAGAGAGGGTAGGAGTCATCTCAGGGATGAATAGCTAGGGGGTTGACTATTCTTTGAAAATTGGAGGATTACAGTGGGAAGAAATTTGCCAGTCATTCCAAAGGCTGAAACCGGGATTAGTAGATAAAGGGTATATAGACACATTTAAATCAATTTCAGAAAAACAGGTAGCTTCCAAACATGAGTGCTATCTATGCAGGGTGGACACTCTGTAAGCTACAAAGGGCCCTGCTACAGGAGTGACTCCGGTGGCTGACAGGTCACAGTACCCAAACTCCTTTCTGACTCTAGCTCTATGCAGTGACCACTGTAACTCACCAGAGCTCCTCGAAGGTCCCTGAGAGGCGAACGAGGCCAGCGGACAGTGCATTCGAAGTGCTGGGGTTCTGCTAGCTGATCCACCTCTTTGCCCATCTGGAGATAAAGAAGATTCTCAAAGATGAAAATACAGAAACAAGACAGAGCTTTCCATTTCCACCAAGAGTAAGGACTGGGGGTTATGATGCTGAGTGAGAAGCTGGACAACTGTGAGTCTGTGGAGTTTAAGGATGCATTTTTAAAGAATGAGCTGGAATTCAGGAGGTGATGGGGACAGTAAGAAGAGATCATGTTCTCTCAGACAAGAGTGAAGTGTTCTGAGCCTCACAAACAGACAGGACACAAAAAGTGCATGAGCTTTAGAGCCCTGATTGGGCTGGGTTTCTGTTTGTTATGTTGTTTTTGTTGCTGCTGTTCTTTCATTTTATTTCAAACAGGGTTTCACTCTGTATCCCAGACTGCTCACAGACTCACTGTGTAGTCTAGCCTTGAACTAGCTTACAGTGGTGTGTTTGTGTATCAAATTGACAAGGGGCGGAGTTGTGATGGTTGTTTCTAATAGCCAATTTGATATAATATAAATCGCCTGGGAAAAGACTGTCTAGATCAGGTTGGTTGTGGACCTGTCTAGTATCTTGAATGTTCATAGATGTGGGAAGATGAAGCCCACTGTGGGCAGCGTCATTTCCTGGGTTTGGGTCCTGGAAAGCAAGCTGTGTGCTAGGCATTTATTCTGTCTGTTCTTGACTATGGATGTAACTAGCTATTTTGAGTTCCTGCCCTCACTTCCCCACAAGGATGGTCTCTCTGGAACTGTAAGCCACATAAACCATTTTTCCACTAAATTACGTTTGGTCAGTGTGTTTTATCACAACAGTAATGAAACTGGGACAGAAACCTTCCTTTTTAGCCTCCAAGGGACTGTGACTACAGGTGTGAGCACCACACCCATCGAGGTTGGTTTCTGGTTTTCACTACATCCTAGTTCCATGAAATTTGCTTCAAAAATAATCCACAGAATGGAGGCTTCTGATTCTGGGGCTTTGTTCTATCTTCAAAACCAGACAATACCTCGGTTTTAAGTTTCTCTGATGTGTTTCTTCTCAGTTCTGAGTTACTGTTTGGACTAATCAACTAATGTAAATGGCTTCCCTCATGTAATACTCCCCATCCTTAATAAGTGAAGTTTTAAGATAAAACACGTGTCCTACATTAATGCTGGTGCCAGCACTGTAACCTAATCTGGAGGAAATTAAATCTAGTATGTTTTCCACCTCACAATCTTAAATTTGACAATTCATGGAGTTAAACATCCTCCAGGTTCTTTACTTAAATGTCTCTATCAGTGGCAAGAAATAACAACACTTATGTCCTTGATACAGATACTTACTGGTGAATTACACAAGAGTACTGATTTAATATCATAGATATTTGAGAGCATGGTGCCTTGTCATGAACTTGGTGTTCCGCTCTCTTCACATCTGCCCTGCTGTTTGTTTCCTTAGTCTCTGTCAAAGGTGCGAGGAGGAACCTGGCTTCCACTCCATGAAGTCTTATTTCACTGGAGTCAGTATCTAGGGTAAGCTCACAGCCGTGCCACTGGGGTTTGCACTGCACAGCTCACACAGAAGTGAGTCAATGCGGGGAAACCTTACCTCTTGGAAAGAATCACTCAAGTGTTCAGCGTTTCTCTTTCCTCCAGGGCGCAATCCATAGGACCAGTGCTGGCTGGAGCAGCCTTCCAAACAGAGGCTCAGCAGAACAACAACAGCTGTAAGTTTGGGGATCATCTCCACTCTAAGGGACATCAAGACACCATCATGACAGACCCAGACTGAAGGAGAACAAGGAGTGCTTAGTAAAGAGACAAGAATCTGGACCACTGACCCTCCAGAAGCTGCAGAGGAAGTCATGCAGCTGGTAGGTATTTCATGAAGACAATGAAACACAGGGACACCTGCCTGTCTTGAGCTCCGTAGACCTTGGGGACAAACCCCTGTACTTGATTCTGGCATCTTCTGCGGGTTTTTTTTTTTTTTTTTTTTGGTAATGTAGTCCATTTTTAGTTTTGTTTGGTTGGTTATCTGAAACCCATAATTCATCCCTTATCAAATTCACTTTGCCTGTAACCCTCCTCGTTCTCATCTTTGTCATTCATGAGATTAGAATTGGGCCATCTGCTCTGAAAAAGCAGCTCCCCCTAGATGTCTCTGGTTAATAACAGGTTGCTTGACTTTAAATGGCAACCCTGTGGCATTGCTGACATCTAGTCTTTAGGGCATTACAGCTGGCCAGACCAGCTTCAAGACCAAGAACTGATCTAGGTGGAGATACCTAGCTCAGATACCCCTCTTGCCTAGTAAGCCTAGAGTTAATTGATAAAATGTGCCTCTAAATTAATTTCATCTGATGGGGAAGAAGCCAAAATTAGTGTCCAACACTGGGCCATGCTGGGTTCCACCAAGATTGGATCTCCACCAAAGGCTGGTGGTTGACAAGGTCAGTCAATGAAGGGCAAGGCTTCCCTTGGATACCATAACATCTAGACTTGACCCTTGAGTGCAAAATACCCTTCGGACATACAAAACAAGCAACATTAAAAATAGTGCTAGAAGTACAATTTTACCTGTTGGGAAATGAAAGCCAAAGAGATACCAAACTTCCTTTGGTGAGTTGAGTGCTGCAATGTTTCTGCTTTCCTGGCTTCCTTTTTATATGATTTTTTTTTCTGGGACACCGAAATCCTCCCTGCTGGTGAATGATGAGGTATAGCACAGCGCAGACAATAGTTTTAATAATGATGTTTAAATCCTCACAAAAAGCCTTTTAATGGTGAATGTAATTGGGACACCTGCTGTTCTGTTACATTTTCTTAAACCTGGTCATTAAAATCTTAGCTAAAACTTTCACAGCTGAAGTCACCCTTCTAAGGGATTAAAATTCAGCTATGCTGTGTTCCCTTGAGGAAGGTGGCAGCCCTATGAGAGTTCAAGGAAAACCAGTGTCTTAGATGAGATGAAGTTAAACACACACACACAAAACTTTCACAGGGAAGTTAAGCAATAAATACAGAGCGTTGAGACAAAGTGCGTGGGAGCCAGTATTAGCATTTGAGTCTCAGTAAAAGGAAAATTTAAATCAGATAATCATAGTGTTATTCCCAAGCTAAAAAAAAAAAATCTAATTTAGGGCTGGTGAGATGGCTCAGTGGGGAGAGGCTGCTGTCAATTTTGATGATCTGAGTTCCATTCTAGGGTCTCACAAAATAGAGTAAGAGAACTGATTCTCTTGAGGTGTCCTCTGACCTCCACACACATGCTGTGTGGCACGTGTGAGCACACACACACACACACACACACACACACACACACACATTTCCTATAATCCCTGAAAGTAGTCCTCTGCTTCCTGCCTGTTAATGACTCTTTGTATCTGGTCAACATTCAACACACAAAGATTTCGCTGAGTCATTGAATGAATGAAGGGCCTTTTAAGCAGGTTTGGCAGACCCTACCTCAATTTTCAACTTCCAAGGTTATTTTATCTGATACAGAATGAAATCTCTATGTACAATACATTGTTACACTACCTAAGCTTCAAAATGCTTTAAAAATAACATTGTATTTGATCTTTATACAGTTGAGATTGGCAACATCGCTGGTAGGATGCTAACCCCAGCAGTTGCTGCCCAGAGTTCTCTGAAATAATTCCATTTATAAGGGTTTCTAGTAACGAGTAATAGTAGCAGGCCTAGATTAAGAGACATTGGCTTCCCAGGTGATCTCTGCCCAGTTCTTATGACAGGGTAGAGAAGAGTGACTTCAGTGACTATCATTTCGTTTAGATACCTCCACTAACATGCTACTCACACAAAGTGTGGGACCTCATCTCACTAGAATATGCAAGGGAGGTGATTTTTCAATAAGAATTCCTGAAGTTTAAACAATTTTACTTCAAACTGTCCACTGTGTTTTGTTTGTTAGAAATGTGCTTCTTAGTGTTACTCGAGGGAAAAACAAAAAACTGTAGTGTCTGGCTAGACCTAACAGAATGATAAAGATGTGGGGGCCCTGTTGTCAGAGAACCTCAATGTGTCTATACTGATTTTTAAAAATTTCAAAAATATTTATGAAGACAGCAACACAGATGGAAAATTTCAGATATGCCCTGGCCTAAGTACACTTAGACTTGCCTCAGGTCACACAGAGCCTAAGGACAGAAACCAAATGTGTCCTACTTTCTATAGCATCAAATGAACTATTAAGCCATTGTGCCATTGGTGAGGTTTTGAGGCGTAGAGACAGACTTTTAGATCTCTCATGAGTGCATGCTTAAGCCAATTTACCTAAGATTGAAATTGATCAGCTGGGTTTAAATAATTGGACTTTATAATTGTCACAATTTTCTTTTTCTAAATCCAAAAGAACGTTTTATAGGGGAAAACTACTTCATTTTGAACAAATAGCTCAAAATGATTACAATGATTTTGTTCCTTCCTGAATGACAGGTGAACAACCTCTTTCTTGCCCTAATGTAAAATCTCAGCAGGAGGCCTGTGGGACTAACTGTCGCTCACACCACTAAGCCAGGCACTGAAAGGCCTGAGAATGAAGCCTTGGGGAACATGCTTTATCCTGAAATAATGTAACCATTTTTCTTTGTAGTTTGATGCTTTTCATTTTAAAGATACTACTTCCTTGGGGAAATTAACAGAATTCTAGAGTTTTTCATGTATAAAAGATGATTTAAAGTTGACCTGGGAGTAGGCTTGTGACAGAAATAATATTCATAAAATGAATGGGAGAAAATAGGTCTTGATTACTAAAGAAAGCCATCATAGTAATGACTTTACAACATTTCTTACTCAAAATCCCTTCAAAGGGCTGCTGAGGAACTTGGCCGTACCAGAGACTGACACATATTGCCTTAGACAGTTACTTGAGTAGAGAACTGAGTGTTATCAATGGAAACTATCTAGCCAATGTAGGCCCTCTCACAGGCTCTATTTGAACTTATATACCCACATGATCACCACCAGTGATAATGCAAGTTATCCTTGGAACTCTTCCCTTTCTTAGAAATCTCTCTCTTAGACATCAGGCAAAACCAAATTTCTTGCCCAATACAACAAATGAACGACACTCGTGAGCTATAGAGCAACACAAATCACTGGATGTCTTCCTTAGTGGAGAACCGAAAGTGCTGTAGCATGGTAGTCTCTGAAAAGAGGATCATGAAACCATATCCAAGAGGTGAATTTGCTTTAATGGCTTTACCAACAAAACTAACCCATTAAGAGCACCATACCGTTCGCTCCTGCATGCACCATCATGAATAACTGTGGGAAATGCAGAAAGGGTTGAATTTCAAAAGCAAGAGCAGAAGCAGCCTGTCAGCGTTCCACACCATTTATTAATGCAGTTTACATCAGAACCCTGTGTGCAGTTCCCAAGCACACTGTGTGTTTACATCTTCCAGCTCCCTCTGCAGTCTCAGGGCTGTCTGCAGAGGACCATTCAGTGAACGAACACAGTCTATAATTATTGAAAATAGAGTGCAGTGAAATGAGTTAAATATAATTTAGGCACATATTGATTATGAAAATAGGTATCTCTCAATACAATACTTCTCTGTCTTGGTAAAAATAATAACGCAAAGAAAATAATTTATTTTCAAAGTTGCTTTCCTGTCCCTGTAAAGGAGCACTCTCCTCCCACTGTGCATATGAGCCCTTTACTGTGAAGGAAAGCTTTGCATATGTAGATATAAGAATAAGCTACAGAATAATGAAGACATGCCACTCTCCTGAAGGAGACAAGGTCACCTGTGATGATTCACTACCTCAAGCTGACGAGTCTGTAGGATTTAGAACCCATTTGGACACAGCTTATATCCCTGCTCTTAGAAAACACATAAGGACACTAGGACACCCACTAAGAAGGCCCAACTGCTGCTGCTGTTGTACAGATAATGAAAAACTCAAGAAAACTCTACGACAATTTCATTCAAAAACAAGACAACAGAAAATATTTTTTTAAGAGCCACAATTACTGACTGACTGATAATGCAGCTTATACTAGCCGAATGCTTAATTTTTATTCATCATTTTTTTGGTGGCTGTAATCAAACCATCAGTTTAGAATTCCTTGGTCCCCCTCTGTAGGGTTTTAATTGTAATTATCTGATGTTGCCTTCTCATAGGCCATTCTGCAGGATTTATTCATACTTTATAGTTCCAACTGCAGTGGATTTAGATTATTCTAAGCTGGTCCTGTATAAACTACTTGGCATTACATGAACTGTGCTGAGGATACAGGTTGGTGTTTTGGTTCTGAAGTATCTTCTTATGCTTGTGATAAGAAGCATAAGAGCACGAGAACTGGACTATGAATGGACAGAGCAGCCTAATCCGGTACCGAATGGAACTCGCCCATAACAAAGCTGAGGCATGCTCACTGGACAGCTGCAGCAACTGGTGGAGCCTTCCTTCTCCTGCAGAATGATATACAAGGTCTTTCCTTCCATCCTGCCTCAAGATGTGAGAACAGAATGGGATTCAAATTTAGCTACTGTTTTTTTTTTTTTCTAAAAAAGTAAACATTATAGAAATGAATCTGAAAAGAGCCATAGGGAGTCTTACCCTCACCACACTCACATATGATAGGGATTTGAAGAGGGAAGGCATCACTAAAGCTATTCATAAACCTCAACAACTCTTCAGTTTTCAAGACGTTTAACAATTTAAACATCCTTACTGCATCTAGGTGTTCAATAAATATATTTGCATATATTGTGCTTTTCATAAATTAAAATTCTCAAATGCATCGTAAACCAAGATGGTACTTCTACACAGTGCCTATATAAAAGCAAATATAATAGATACTACTCCTGGTCAGAAACCAGACAAATGCCCCAACTCCACTCAAAATGCAGCAGCACGATCTACTTTCCCTACATCTATAAACAGAGTGTTCTTCTGTTATAGTCATAATGTGGGGGAAATTCAATTGTTTCCCCTTATGCACCTCTGGGAACAAGCATTTGCCTCTAATTCCCGTACAATGTTATCTCCTCTAGACAATTGGATGAATGGAGAAATAAAATAAAGACACGTTTCATCAGGGACATGTTCCTCCAGCTCTTGCCACTCTCATCTGACACTCTGGGACATATGTAATGGTGTCAGCATCTCTTCAAATATGGCACCCTTCACGTTGGAACCTCTCAGGTTGGCTTCCTGGAGGTCACACCCCGACAAATCACAGTTCTGTAAGACAAAATAAGACTTTTAGAGCTTAAGTGATTTAGGATGGGACTTGGTTCTACCTAAAATGATTTCTCAGCATGGCAGGACAATATTTCCAAGTGTTCTTATTTTTGAAATACTTCTACTAATGTACTGGGGTGGTTTGAATAAGAATGGCCCCCGTAGGCTCCCACATTTGAATGCTTAGTCACCACATAATGGAGTAGAGCTTTTTGAAAGGACTAGGAGGATTGGGAGGTGTGACCTCATTGGAGGAAGTGTATCACTAGGGGTGGATTTTGAAATTTGAAAAGCCCATGCCAGGTATGTGCTCGCTCCACCCTCCCTCTGCTTATGGGATCAGGATGTAGCTCTCAGTGACTTCTCTAGCACCATGCCTGCCTGCCACCATGCTCCCTGCCATGATAATGAACTAAGCCTCTGAAAGTGTATGAAGCACCCAGTTAAATGCTTTTCCTATTATTCATGGCATCTCACAATGATCTGGAACTCAAGTTCCGAGGCATCCACTGAACACTCTCCTCTGACCTCCATGGGCACCAGGCATGCATATGGCATACGCAGCAGGCAAAACACTTATAAACATAAATAGAAAGAACTGAAAGGACTATATTAATGTTGCAAAGCCAGTTCCTTTTGCCTTTAAAGGAATTTGTTGCTCTGATTCTAAGAACTATCAAGAGATCAAGGCAAACAAAACAAAACAGAAAGTCCACAGTAATCTAAATTTTCATATACAATTCTATCTGTGCCACATGTCATATTGTTCAGTAAGACACAGCTACCAGAAACATGTAGTTATTTAAGTTTAAATGAATTAAAATGAAGTAGTTTTCTTTAGAATTGTGTCTCGGTTGTACCAAGTTCAAATGTCCAACAACTAAGTGTTTAGTTGGCCTGTGTACTCAACAGCACAGATACAAACACACCCCTCAGTGCGGGAAGTAGCATTTGGCAGCACTATGTAGACAACAGCCACTAAGCCAGGTATGGAGGCACACACCTATGATTCCAGGATTTGTGGGGGCTGAGAAAAGAAAATCATATATAACCTGAGCTATATAATAGAGTTCTTATATGCAAACAAGCAAGCTACCTAAATATATAAATCAAGAAGACATATAGAATTTAGGTCTTTTTTTTTTTCTTTTCTTTTCTCTTTCTGAGACAGGGTTTCTCTGTGTAGCTTTGGAGCCTATCCTGGCACTCACTCTGGAGACCAGGCTGGCCTCGAACTCACAGAGATCCACCTGCCTCTGCCTCCTGAGTGCTGGGATTAAAGGCATGCACCACCAACGCCTGGCTAGAATATAGGTCTTATGAAAAAAAAATAGACAAAATTTGAATCTCAAACTGAGATTCAAACTGAACATGATGCCAGGTTACAATGGGCTTTTCCTGAACCTAATGTTAAACCCTGAAATGATTTACATTTTTCAAGTAGTTTGAGAAATAATCTGGCTTGTTAAATTCTGTTTGGAATTAAAATTTATGAAAAATGTAGTGTATGCTTGAGCAAGATCCAAGAAAACAGATTAAATGAAAGGATTTCATTTAATCCAGGCTGGCTGAGCACAGCATTAGTCTCCCCTGAATCTGAAGTGGCACCTGCACTTAGATGACACATCAGATCTAATGCTGGAACTTAGTCATTCAACAAAAAAATGACTCCCCGCTACCCTCTTTCTTGGAAGGGAGGAGGGGTGCGGGGTCTCACTGTTTATTGCAGTCTAGCCTCACAATCCCAACCCTCGCTCTTCAGCTGGGATTACAGGCGTGAGTCTCCATGCCCACCTTTAGGAAAACATTGGGAAGGGCAATAGCCTTCCAGCCTCCCTCCCTACCATGCTAAGTGGCACTTCACAATTTTAGTAAGCTTGCACGATCCCACCAGTAACTCTCATCATTAAACTCCTCAGAGCCTCACCTCCAAGTCAGTTCCTGCCAAAGTTGCCCCTCTGAGATTACAGTTCTTCAGTTTTGCATTTTTTAAGGTGGCAACTCGAAGGTTAATTCCTGTCATCTGACTTCCTTCCATATCTACGCCTTTCAGATTAGCACCTGCAAAAAGCAAGTTTTTTTGGAGAAGTTTATCATAAAATATTTACAGTTAACCATTGAAAACAAAAGTACAAGATGATTTAAGAGAGGAGAATGAGACAAGATCCCACAACTTTTGGAAATAAACTTGAAATCTGTCTTTTACCCAACTTGAAATATAGATTTAAATGGTGGCAATTTATTTTCTTTTTTAAAATTTTTTTATTTATTATGTATACAGTGTTCTCCCTGCATGTATGCCTGAAAGCCAGAAGAGGGCACCAGATCTCATTATAGATGGCCTTGAGCCACATGTAGTTGCTGGGAATTGAACCCAGGTCTTCTGGAAGAACAGTCAGTGAGTGCCCTTAATCTCTGCGCCATCTCTCTAGCCCCAGCAATTTATTTTCTTGTGGCATAAAATAAAATGCTTGAACAATACTTTTGAGGAGAGAAATCAATATTGTCTGTTGATAATTAGCACTTTTCTAATACGACTCTGTAAAATCATGATCAAGGGAGACACCAGCACCATCTCACCTAAATCTAAGTAAATAAAATGTCCTATTCGTAAACAACGAAACACTAATGAAGTATTAAAACTTGACACAACACTGCAGGGTAAACTGAAATTCTTCATTTTTGTCAACACAGAATATTTTATTCTATTAAAAAGTTCAGAGTTTGATAGATATTTAACAGACTGGGACCAAAGTAAAGTGACTCTCCAGTTCTGGCCTCAGAGGAAGCTCCACCCACAGCCTTCCTGTTTCACCTCTAACAACAACTTTTAATTAATGGTTTCTTTCTAGGCAGGGACAGGCAGACAGGTTCTCACCCTCTAAGTTGGCTTTAAGACCGGAAGGATCCTCAAAATTACAGAGCCTCAGGGATGCGCCTTCTGCGTTTGAGCAGAGCATCTTGACTCCCTGGAGATTTGCGCA